GGAGTCAAGGTGTGAGCAGGGAGTCTGCGTGTGTGCAGGGAGTCAAGGTGTGAGCAGGGAGTCAAGGTGTGAGCAGGGAGTCAAGGTGTGAGCAGGGAGTCAAGGTGTGAGCAGGGAGTCAAGGTGTGAGCAGGGAGTCAAGGTGGGAGCAGGGAGTCAAGGTGTGAGCAGGGAGTCAAGGTGTGAGCAGGGAGTCAAGGTGTGAGCAGGGTGTCAAGGTGTGAGCAGGGAGTCAAGGTGTGAGCAGGGAGTCTGAGTGTGAGCAGGGAGTCAAGGTGTGAGCAGGGAGTCAAGGTGGGAGCAGGGAGTCAAGGTGTGAGCAGGGAGTCAAGGTGTGAGCAGGGAGTCAAGGTGTGAGCAGGGAGTCAAGGTGGGTGCAGGGAGTCAAGGTGGGTGCAGGGAGTCAAGGTGGGAGCAGGGAGTCAAGGTGTGAGCAGTGAGTCAAGGTGTGAGCAGGGAGTCAAGGTGTGAGCAGGGAGTCAAGGTGTGAGCAGGGAGTCAAGGTGGGAGCAGGGAGTCTGAGTGTGAGCAGGGAGTCAAGGTGTGTGCAGGGAGTCAAGGTGTGAGCAGGGAGTCTGAGTGTGTGCAGGGAGTCAAGGTGTGAGCAGGGAGTCAAGGTATGAGCAGGGAGTCAAGGTGTGAGCAGGGAGTCTGAGTGTGTGCAGGGAGTCAAGGTGGGAGCAGGGAGTCAAGGTGTGAGCAGGGAGTCAAGGTGTGAGCAGGGAGTCAAGGTGTGAGCAGGGAGTCAAGGTGTGAGCAGGGAGTCTGAGTGTGTGCAGGGAGTCAAGGTGTGAGCAGGGAGTCAAGGTGTGAGCAGGGAGTCAAGGTGTGAGCAGGGAGTCAAGGTGTGAGCAGGGAGTCAAGGTGTGAGCAGGGAGTCTGAGTGTGTGCAGGGAGTCAAGGTGGGAGCAGGGAGTCAAGGTGGGAGCAGGGAGTCAAGGTGTGAGCAGGGAGTCAAGGTGTGAGCAGGGAGTCAAGGTGTGTGCAGGGAGTCAAGGTGTGAGCAGGGAGTCAAGGTGTGAGCAGGGAGTCAAGGTGTGTGCAGGGAGTCAAGGTGTGAGCAGGGAGTCAAGGTGGGAGCAGGGAGTCAAGGTGGGAGCAGGGAGTTAAGGTGTGAGCAGGGAGTCAAGGTGGGAGCAGGGAGTCAAGGTGTGAGCAGGGAGTCAAGGTGTGAGCAGGGAGTCAAGGTGTGAGCAGGGAGTCAAGGTGGGAGCAGGGAGTCAAGGTGGGAGCAGGGAGTCAAGGTGTGAGCAGGGAGTCAAGGTGTGTGCAGGGAGTCATGGTGGGAGCAGGGAGTCAAGGTGCGAGCAGGGAGTCAAGGTGTGAGCAGGGAGTCAAGGTGTGTGCAGGGAGTCAAGGTGTGAGCAGGGAGTCAAGGTGTGAGCACGGAGTCAAGGTGTGAGCAGGGAGTCAAGGTGTGAGCAGGGAGTCAAGGTGTGAGCAGGGAGTCAAGGTGTGTGCAGGGAGTCAAGGTGTGAGCAGGGAGTCAAGGTGTGAGCAGGGAGTCAAGGTGTGTGCAGGGAGTCAAGGTGGGTGCAGGGAGTCTGAGTGGGAGCAGGGAGTCAAGGTGTGAGCAGGGAGTCAAGGTGTGAGCAGGGAGTCAAGGTGTGAGCAGGGCGTCAAGGAACGAGCAGGGAGTCAAGGTGTGAGCAGGGAGTCTGCGTGTGTGCAGGGAGTCAAGGTGTGAGCAGGGAGTCAAGGTGTGAGCAGGGAGTCAAGGTGTGAGCAGGGAGTCAAGGTGTGAACAGGGAGTCAAGGTGTGAGCAGGGAGTCAAGGTGGGAGCAGGGAGTCAAGGTGGGAGCAGGGAGTCAAGGTGGGAGCAGGGAGTCAAGGTGGGAGCAGGGAGTCAAGGTGTGAGCAGGGAGTCAAGGTGGGAGCAGGGAGTCAAGGTGGGTTCAGGGAGTCTGAGTGGGTGGAGGGAGTTGTTAGTAATCTCTCGGAGGAGGGAATCGGAGTGTGTCGCCCAGTGAGAGGCCACTACCAAAACTTGCACAGTGAAGTGACAAGTCCTCTAGGCCTCTACCTTCACTCTGCCTGTAAGAGTTATTATCTCGTGTGGAAGTAGTGGCAGATTCAAGGTTCACTCTGCCTGTAAGAGTTATTATCTCGTGGTGAAGTAGTGGCAGATTCAAGGTTCACTCTGCCTGTAAGAGTTATTATGTCGTGTGGAAGTAGTGGCAGATTCAAGGTTCACTCTGCCTGTAAGAGTTATTATCTCGTGTGGAAGTAGTGGCAGATCCAAGGTTCACTCTGCCTGTAAGAGTTATTATCTCGTGTGGAAGTAGTGGCAGATCCAAGGTTCACTCGACCTGTAAGAGTTATTATCTCGTGGTGAAGTAGTGGCAGATTCAAGGTTCACTCTGCCTGTAAGAGTTATTATCTCCTGGTGAAGTAGTGGCAGATTCAAGGTTCACTCTGCCTGTAAGAGTTATTATCTCGTGTGGAAGTAGTGGCAGATCCAAGGTTCACTCTGCCTGTAAGAGTTATTATCTCGTGGTGAAGTAGTGGCAGATTCAAGGTTCACTCTGCCTGTAAGAGTTATTATCTCGTGTGGAAGTAGTGGCAGGTTCAAGGTTCACTCTGCCTGTAAGAGTTATTATCTCGTGTGGAAGTAGTGGCAGATCCAAGGTTTACTCGGCCTGTAAGAGTTATTATCTCGTGTGGAAGTAGTGGCAGATTCAAGGTTCACTCTGCCTGTAAGAGTTATTATCTCGTGTGGAAGTAGTGGCAGATTCAAGGTTCACTCTGCCTGTAAGAGTTATTATCTCGTGTGGAAGTAGTGGCAGATCCAAGGTTCACTCTGCCTGTAAGAGTTATTATCTCGTGTGGAAGTAGTGGCAGATCCAAGGTTCACTCGACCTGTAAGAGTTATTATCTCGTGGTGAAGTAGTGGCAGATTCAAGGTTCACTCTGCCTGTAAGAGTTATTCTCTCGTGGTGAAGTAGTGGCAGATTCAAGGTTCACTCTGCCTGTAAGAGTTATTATCTCGTATGGAAGTAGTGGCAGATCCAAGGTTCACTCGACCTGTAAGAGTTATTATCTCGTGGTGAAGTAGTGGCAGATTCAAGGTTCACTCTGCCTGTAAGAGTTATTATCTCGTGGTGAAGTAGTGGCAGATCCAAGGTTCACTCCACCTGTAAGAGTTATTATCTCGCGTGGAAGTGGTAGCAGATCCAAGGTTCACTCTGCCTGTAAGAGTTATTATCTCGTGTGGAAGTAGTGGCAGATTCAAGGTTCACTCTGCCTGTAAGAGTTATTATCTCGTGTGGAAGTAGTGGCAGATTCAAGGTTCATTCGGCCTGTAAGAGTTATTATCTTGTGTGGAAGTAGTGGCAGATCCAAGGTTCACTCTGCCTGTAAGAGTTATTATCTCGTGTGGAAGTAGTGGCAGATCCAAGGTTCACTCAGCCTGTAAGAGTTATTACCTCGTGTGTAAGTAGTGGCAGATTCAAGGTTCATTCGGCCTGTAAGAGTTATTATCTCGTGTGGAAGTAGTGGCAGATTCAAGGTTCACTCGGCCATGTAGAAGTTATTATCTCGTGTGGAAGTAGTGGCAGATTCAAGGTTCACTCTGCCTGTAAGAGTTATTATCTCGTGTGGAAGTAGTGGCAGATTCAAGGTTCACTCGGCCATGTAAGAGTTATTATCTCGTGTGGAAGTAGTGGCAGATTCAAGGTTCACTCTGCCTGTAAGAGTTATTATCTCGTGTTGAAGTAGTGGCAGATCCAAGGTTCACTCTGCCTGTAAGAGTTATTATCTCGTGTGGAAGTAGTGGCAGATCCAAGGTTCACTCTGCCTGTAAGAGTTATTATCTCGTGTGGAAGTAGTGGCAGATTCAAGGTTCACTCGGCCATGTAAGAGTTATTATCTCGTGGTGAAGTAGTGGCAGATTCAAGGTTCACTCTGCCTGTAAGAGTTATTATCTCGTGGTGAAGTAGTGGCAGATCCAAGGTTCACTCCGCCTGTAAGAGTTATTACCTCGTGTGTAAGTAGTGGCAGATTCAAGGTTCATTCGGCCTGTAAGAGTTATTATCTCGTGTGGAAGTAGTGGCAGATTCAAGGTTCACTCGGCCATGTAAGAGTTATTATCTCGTGTGGAAGTAGTGGCAGATTCAAGGTTCACTCGGCCATGTAAGAGTTATTATCTCGTGTGGAAGTAGTGGCAGATTCAAGGTTCACTCTGCCTGTAAGAGTTATTATCTCGTGTTGAAGTAGTGGCAGATCCAAGGTTCACTCTGCCTGTAAGAGTTATTATCTCGTGTGGAAGTAGTGGCAGATCCAAGGTTCACTCTGCCTGTAAGAGTTATTATCTCGTGTGGAAGTAGTGGCAGATTCAAGGTTCACTCGGCCATGTAAGAGTTATTATCTCGTGTGGAAGCAGTGGCAGATTCAAGGTTCACTCTGCCTGTAAGAGTTATTATCTCGTGTGGAAGTAGTGGCAGATTCAAGGTTCACTCGGCCATGTAAGAGTTATTATCTCGTGTGGAAGTAGTGGCAGATTCAAGGGAAGGAAAGTGGGGACAGTGCCTCTTGACTCAGAATATCGGTGTGTTTTTTGCTAGTGTACCAGAGAACATGTTGCATGATTTGGTATCTCCCCTCCGGGACGTTTATAGCTCTGCCCCTGTGTGGTGCTATTGTTGGTGCTGCTGGTGATGATGGTGGTGGTGGTGGTACCGCTAATGATGGTGGTGCTGGTGGTAGTGAGGGTGGTGGTACTGGTGTTGCGGTGCTGGTGATCTCGCTAATGATGGTGGTGGTGGTAGTAGTGAGGGTGGTGGTGCTGGTGATGGTGCTAATGGTGGTGGTGGCGCTGGCGATGGTGGTGGTGAGGGTGGTGGTGCTGGCGCTGTTGGTGGTGAACACCAGCTCTTTAACAGCCATTGGGCTTGTGTGGTGCTGACCTCGCCACCAACCTATCAACTGTGCCCGACAGCGGCTTTAATAGGCGCTTGCTAACAACGCAACGGGCGTCCTCTGCGTGCTGCCAACTCTCCAGGTGAAGGGGCTCAGCGCGGCGCTCGTTGCCATGGCGATGCAGGACCACATCGCCCGCGACCTGGGCCTGACGCGGGCCCTGACTAGGCCCAGGGTGCCCCCGGGCCCGAGGCTTCGACAACGGGGGCAGGGTGGTCCTGAGGGGGGTCCCAGTAGGGGCTCTGGTCGGGGTCCCAGGGAGGGCCTTAGCGGGGGCCCCGATGAGGAGCGGGAGTACGTGCTGGGCCCCAGAGCGCCTCCGCTCACTCTGGGTGGGTGACCTCGCCTCGTCACAACGACAACAACAAACTCACCAGTTCGCCAAACTCAAACTCACTCGCTCAGACTCACCCACTCAAACTCACCCACTCACACACTCACACTCACACACTCACACACTCAAACTCACCCACTCAAACTCACACACTCAAACTCACCCACTCAAACTCACCCACTCAAACTCACCCACTCAAAATCATACACTCAAGCTCACCCACTCAAACTCACCCACTCAAACTCACCCACTCAAACTCACCCACGCAAAATCATACACTCAAACTCACCCACTCAAACTCACCCACTCAAAATCATACACTCAAACTCACCCACTCAAACTCACCCACTCAAACTCACCCACGCAAAATCATACACTCAAACTCACACACTCAAACTCACACACTCAGACTCACACACTCAAACTCACCCACTAAAAATCATACACTCAAACTCACCCACTCAAACTCACCAACTCAAACTCACCCACTGAAACTCACCGACTCAAACTCACCCACTCAAACTCACTCGCTCAGACTCACCCACTCAAACTCACCCACTCAAACTCACCCACTCAATCTCACACACTCAAACTCACCCACTCACACTCACCCACTCAAACTCACCCACTCAATCTCACACACTCAAACTCACACACTCAATCTCACACACTCAAAATCATACACTCAAACTCACACACTCAAACTCACACACTCAGACTCACACACTCAGACTCACACACTCACACACTCAAACTCACCCACTCAAAATCATACACTCAAACTCACCCATTCAATCTCACACACTCAAACTCACCCACTCAAACTCACCCACTCAAACTCACCCATTCAATCTCACACACTCAAACTCACACACTCAGACTCACACACTCATCCACTCAAACTCACCCACCCACTCAAACTCACACACTCAAACTCACTCACTCAGACTCACAAACTCACCAACTCAAACTCGCACACTCAAACTCACTCGCTCACACTCACACACTCAAACTCACCCACTCAAACTCACCCACTCAAACTCATCCACTCAAACTCACCCACTCACCCACTCAAACTCACCCACTCAAACTCACCCATTCAACCTCACACACTCAAACTCACACACTCAGACTCACCCACTCAAACTCACCCATTCAATCTCACACACTCAAACTCACCCATTCAACCTCACACACTCAAACTCACACACTCAGACTCACACACTCACCCACTCAAACTCACCCATTCAATCTCACACACTCAAACTCACCCACTCAAACTCACCCACTCAATCTCACCCACTCAAACTCACCCACTCAAACTCACCCACTCAAACTCACTCACTCAAACTCACCCACTCAAACTCACCCACATAAACTCACCCACTCAATCTCACCCACTCACCCCCTCAAGCTCACTCGCTCAGACTCACACACTCAGACTCACCCACTCAAACTCACACACTCAAACTGACCCACTCAAACTCACCAACTGTAGTGGTTAGCGCACTGTATTAGCCCCATGCAACCCGAGTCCGTTTCTCGCTCACAACCAACATCAGTGATGCACATCTGTTTCTGCCCTGAGCCTCCCACAGGTCGACTCCGTATTAGTCAAGTACCACGTGGAGTGTGTACCACGTGCAGTGTGTACCACGTGCAGTGTGTACCACGTGCAGTGTGTAAACCTCAGCACCGGGGAGACAAAGGTGGGCGGGCGTGGTTTCTTTGCTGGCCACACCACCCCTTCGCAAGTGCTCCGTGCCGCCTTTCAAGAGGCGCTCGCTAACAGCACTGGCAGCCGGCAGTGTGTTACATCTCCAGGGGGCATCTTTGTCTTGTGCGTACCCAGCGCAGCGCCTGTGCCTGGTGCCGGCGCCGCAGGGCACTGCTCTCTCCCAGGAGGAATGGCGCACCGTGAAGTCACGCTCAGCCCAGCGCGAGCTCTTCTCCCTGCCCTGCGTGATCTGCCGTGAGGAGCTGGGGGCCCACACGCAGGTGCCTCCTCCCCCCCCCTGTGACCCCCACGTGACCCCTGCGCAATCTCCCGTGACCCAGCGTGACCCCCCATGACCCCGTATGACCCCTGACCCCCCGCCACCCCCATGACCCTCTGCCACCCTGCCACCTGTACCCAGCCACCTGCCTTCGCCACCAGCGGGATTCGTAATTGAATGTTTTGGGTCAAAAATGTGTGTTGTTGAACCCCTCCTCCACCTGACACAGACAATTGAACGGGCGTAGCCAACATTTGACTAGCTCAGCAGCGCCCACCAGTGTTATTGCTCTGTGTATGCATGTTGAACTTCTTTCGCACCGCACGTAGCCAACCGTGCTAATCGGAGGAGCGTGACCCGCGCTCGAATTTAACAACCGCCATCAACTGGGGGCAGTTTGCCGGAGTTCAATTCTGCCCTGAAATTGGCAAAGAGATGATCATCAAGGGGACGGGTTTCTTGTTCAAGTCTGGCCAGAGATGACGCCGATGGATAGGACAGACATAATGATGATGGGTAGGACGATGGGTAGGATGATGGGTAGGACACGCATCCTGATGATGAGTAGGACGATGGGTAGGAAACGCATCATGATGATGAGTAGGACGATGGGTAGGATGATGCGTAGGACGATGGGTAGGACACACATCATGATGATGAGTAGGACGATGGGTAGGACACACATCATGAGGAGGGCTGCAGTCGTCCTAATGGAAGAACAAAAAACCACACCGGCCGTGAACCTCCACATTAAGAAGCATGCATTGAGACTATTCAGATTATATGGCTGCCATAAATGTCCAAATGATAAGACACTTTGTTGAGCTGCTGCCACTTGTGGTGGCCAGGTCGATTCTGAACAACAATAAGTGAATACCTCAGTGGGCTTTGCCTGGTAGGATGGAGATGGTTTAGTGTCGTATTTGTTTGTGTCTGGGTGAATTGTTGACCTTTCCTGTACTTTTGCACTCCCATCGTGTTTTTGTACCATTTGTTGTTGTAACGTTCTTACCCGGTGCCCCTTAATGGACATCTGTTTTTTAAAAAAGAGCTTTATAGCTCATCGGATTCCTCCTGCAGTGTAAATACTGATTCTGAACCTGGCGACGCGGGTTCGATTCCCGCTTGCGGTTCAACGCCAGTGGTGGAAGGAATCCGATGAGCCATGAAGCTCTTTGTCACAGATGTCCAGCAGGGGCACGGGGTCAGCGAGTTCCAACAACAAACAGTACAAACAAATAATAGGAGTGCAAAGTATAGGAAAGGTAAGCTAATCGCTAAAAATGAATTCGTCAAATAGATACAGTAACGTATATAGCCACCACCGCCCTGAATCGCGGTGAGTCGTTGGCCTAAGCGGCGCGTCAGAGTGGCGTACAGTTAACCAACTTGCAACAATTCCATCGAAGCCCCTTGTGGTGAAAACATTGGTTCGACACGTAGGCTTTTGTGACTAATATCCATAATATGGAAGGTTTTTTTGGGTGAGATCACGTGCATATAAATGTGTCATTAAACCCGCCACCACCCGACACGGACAATTAGTAAGGTTTGTCACGTATACAAAACGTGGCGATTAGTTACGAGTTCAGCACACCGGTGTGTTGGAGAGTAAACCCACAACATTTACATTTTGAGGACTGTGACGTTTCTCTGGTGATTGCAACAACGAGCCTCATCAGGCGATTAGCCAGGATTGTGAAGAAGTCCTCCTGTTTACGGTCTTGAATAAGGGAGTAGAGGTGATGTCATCACTGTGGACTTATCAGGGGCGAATATTTTCAGAGCATGGTTTTGCCACAGGCACGTGTGGCTAACACAGACTTGGTGCCGAGCAATAGCGGTGTCTATTTGGTGTTTGAACATCTTAACACCTCCTGTTTTATTGCCAGAAATGGGTAAAGCCTATTCTTATTTATTTTCATTTTGATACTGGCAAAAAAAAAAGGTCCCATAGATAAAAAAAAACCTTTCCGCCTTCGGGAGGGGAGTCTGCCTGTGACGGCTCGGTGTGGTGAGCGCCTCACATGCTGAACGTTCCCTCCTCACCCTCACCACCCTCCTCACCCTCACCACCCTCCTCACCTCCTCACCACCCTCACCACCCTCCTCACCCTCACCACCCTCCTCACCCTCACCACCCTCCTCACCCTCACCACCCTCTTCACCCTCTTCACCCCAGGTGCTGCTGTCCTGCTCGCACGTCTTTCACCAGGTAAGGCAGCGGTCCTCATCGGGCAGCCGTGGTGGTGGTGGTGGTGCTGCCCCTGCTGCCCCTGTGGTGGTGCTGCCCCTGCTGCCCTGTGGTGGTGGTGCCCCTGCTGCCCCTGCTGCCCCTGCTGCCCCTGCTGCCGCTGCTGTTGCTGCACGTCACTGCTGCCTGTAGTCCAGCGCTGTGCGGAGGTGGCGGCGGCAGCGGGGGTTGGCGGATCACGCACAAATTGTCGCAAAACTCACTTAATTCCCACGGGTGGGCTGGGCGTCGTGGAGGAGCCATGCCCCGGCTCGCCCAGGAGTAGACGGTACAGCAGAGCGAGGAATAATCTCCGTCTGTTGCGTCTGCGTGGGATAGAGCGTTGCTCCCTCGCGCGCATGCGTTTTCCCCGGATGCTCTGATTTTGCTCCCACGTATACAAACACTCGTCATTCATTGGCTGAAAACGTCGCAGTCTACGCGCGCCTCTGTGTTTGCTGATTGCGCAGCGTTGTGAGCTGTAGTTAAATAAATGATGCCGCTATAGCAACTCAATATTATTATCACCACATTTACACATGTGAAATGTGTTACCATGCCTCAGCTCCATTCACCACTGCTCCTCAACGCGCCACTCACCATCCCGCCGCTCACTGTCCGCGCAAACAACGTCCCTCGTGCAAAAAAAATAAATACAAAGCTCCCCCGTGTAGCCCCTAACATACTGTTGGGGCAAGTGCTATTAGCAAGCACTTATGAAGGCCGGGACGGTGCATGAGGGAGCCTGTGGCCACTACCGTGACCGGCCGCCTATGTCTACTCAGTGGTGATGTTTACACACCGCACCAGGTACTCATTTTAGGCTGAGTCGACCTAGGAGAGGCCCAGGACCGGTTCAGATAATCGTCGCTGGTGTTGGTGACCGTAACCAGGAATCGAACTCGGGTTTCCGGGTTCGTAGCGCAGTGTGCTAACTGCTGCGCCATGACTCCCCTCGCCCAACACGCGGACACCACAAACGCACACCACGCATCTCTCCCTATCCATCGCCATCACTACCGCCACCACGGCACGCTCCGTACGGATCTCACCCCACTCTCCGGGCCCTGACCTCCAACTCACAATGGCCGCACTGTTTACTAGCGTGGCCGCCGAGTGGGTGATGATGCCGTGTGTGTGATGACACTGAGTGTGATGATGCCGTGTGTGTGATGACACTGAGTGTGATGACACTGAGTGTGATGATGCCGTGTGTGTGATGACACTGAGTGTGATGACACTGAGTGTGATGATGCCGTGTGTGTGATGACACTGAGTGTGATGATGCCGTGTGTGTGATGACACTGAGTGTGATGCTGCGTGTTGACACTGTGTGCCGATGCTGTGTAATGAGGGGCCGGCCATAAATGACGTCACGCACCTAGGGGGTGGGGGGGGGGTCAGACATTTGTGACGATGTGTGACGAGGGGGGGGGCGGGGGCGGTTTGAGAAATGTGACGTCACATCAAAATGCGCAACTTTAAATAAAACAACACGTTCTACTTAATTAAACTTAATTGTTATAACAACTCTAATTTTTTATAATTTTCATAGTTTTAAAGTCTAGTATTAGAGTCGAGTATTAGAGTCTAGTATTAAAGTCTAGTATTAAAGTCTAGTATTAAAGTCTAGTATTAAAGTCTTGTATTAAAGTCTAATATTAAAGTCTAGTATTAAAGTCTAGTATTAAAGTCTAGTATTAAAGTCTAGTATTAAAGTCTAGTATTAAAGTCTAGTATTAAAGTCTAGTATTAAAGTCTTGTATTAAAGTCTAGTATTAAAGTATAGTATTAAAGTCTAGTATTAAAGTCTAGTATTAAAGTCTAGTATTAAAGTCTAGTATTAATTGTAGTATTAAAGTCTAGTATTAAAGTCTAGTATTAAAGTCTAGTATTAAAGTCTAGTATTAAAGTCTAGTATTAAAGTCTAGTGTTAAAGTCTAGTATTAAAGTCCAGTATTAAAGTCTAGTATTAAAGTCTAGTATTAAAGTCTAGTATTAAAGTCGAGTATTAAAGTCTAGTATTAAAGTCTAGTTTTAAAATCTAGTATTAAAGTCTAGTATTAAAGTCTAGTATTAAAGTGCAGTATTAAAGTCTAGTATTAATTGTAGTATTAAAGTCTAGTATTAAAGTCTAGTATTAAAGGCTAGTATTACAGTCTAGTATTAAAGTCTAGTATTAAAGTCTAGTATTAAAGTCTAGTATTAAAGTCTAGTATTAAAGGCTAGTATTAAAGTCTAGTATTAAAGTCTAGTATTAAAGTCTAGTATTAAAGTCGAGTATTAATTGTAGTATTAAAGTCTAGTATTAAAGTCTAGTATTAAAGGCTAGTATTAAAGTCTAGTATTAAAGTCTAGTATTAATTATAGTATTAAAGTCTAGTATTAAAGTCTAGTATTAAAGTCTAGTATTAAAGTCTAGTATTAAAGTCTAGTATTAAAGTCTAGTATTAAAGTCTAGTATTAAAGTCTAGTATTAAAGTCTAGTATTAAAGTCTAATATTAAAGTCTAGTATTAAAGTCTAGTATTAAAGTTGAGTATTAAAGTCTAGTATTAAAGTCTAGTATTAAAGTCTAGTATTAAAGTCTAGTATTAAAGTCTAGTATTAAAGTCTAGTATTAAAGTCTAGTAATAAAGTCTAGTAATAAAGTCTAGTATTAAAGTCTAGTATTAAAGTCTAGTATTAAAGTCTAGTATTAAAGACTAGTATTAAAGTCTAGTATTAAAGTCTAGTATTAAAGTCTAGTATTAAAGTATATTATTAAAGTCTAGTATTAAAGTCTAGTTTTAAAGTCTAGTATTAAAGTCTAGTATTAAAGTCCAGTATTAAAGTCTAGTATTAAAGTCGAGTATTAGAGTCTAGTATTCAAGTATATTATTAAAGTCTAGTATTAAAGTCTAGTATTAAAGTCTAGTATTAAAGTCTAGTATTAAAGTCTAGTATTAAAGTCTAGTTTTAAAGTCTAGTATTAAAGTCTAGTATTAAAGTCTAATATTAAAGTCTAGTATTAAAGTCTAGTATTAAGGTCTAGTATTAAAGTCTAATATTAAAGTCTAGTATTAAAGTCTAGTATTAAAGTCTAGTATTAAAGTTTAGTATTAAAGTCGAGTATTAAAGTCTAGTATTAAAGTCTAGTATTAAAGTCTAGTATTAAAGTCTAGTATTAAAGTATATTATTAAAGTCTAGTATTAAAGTCTAGTATTAAAGTCTAGTATTAAAGTCTAGTATTAAAGTCTAGTATTAAAGTCTAGTATTAAAGTCTAGTATTAAAGTCGAGTATTAAAGTCTAGTATTAAAGTCTAGTATTAAAGTCTAGTATTAAAGTCTAGTATTAAAGTATATTATTAAAGTCTAGTATTAAAGTCTAGTATTAAAGTCTAGTATTAAAGTCTAGTATTAAAGTCTAGTATTAAAGTCTAGTATTAAAGTCTAGTATTAAAGTCGAGTATTAAAGTCTAGTATTAAAGTCTAATATTAAAGTCTAGTATTAAAGTCTAGTATTAAAGTCTAGTATTAAAGTCGAGTATTAAAGTCTAGTATTCAAGTCTAGTATTAAAGTCTAGTATTAAAGTCTAGTATTAATTGTAGTATTAAAGTCTAGTATTAAAGTCTAATATTAAAGTCTAGTATTAAAGTCTAGTATTAAAGTCTAGTATTAATTGTAGTATTGAAGTCTAGTATTAAAGTCTAGTATTAAATTCTAGTATTAAAGTCTAGTATTGTAGTATTAAAGTCTAGTATTAAAGTATAGTATTAAAGTCTAGTGTTGTAGTATTAAAGTATAGTATTAAAGTCTAGTATTGTAGTATTAAAGTCTAGTATTAAAGTCTAGTATTGTAGTATTAAAGTCTAGTATTAAAGTCTAGTATTAACCAAGGTGGCCTGATGGAATCGAACCGCCAACATCCGCAACAAATGACAAACGCGCTTCCGCTGGTCGGCACCCCCCACCCCCCAGACACTCCACCTGAGTCACTCCCACCACAGATCTCGCGCCCCCCCTGTGCCCTCTGCCTGACCTCGTGCCCCCCTCTCCCCACCTGCCGTGCCCCCCAGGAATGTGTGGAGGCACTGGAGCGAGTGGCGCGCTGCCGGCGCTGCCCCGTGTGCCGCGTGTCTCCCTATGAGGCTCGCGTCGTGCACGATGCCTCCCGCCTCTACCGCCACAAGTGTGCCACGCGGTGCGCTCGGCAGTGGCAGCCACAAACACCACAACAACCACAACAACCACCACAACCACCACAACCACCACAACCAACACAACCAACACAACAACCACCACAACCAACACAAACACCACAACAACAACCACAACAACAACAACCACCACAACCAACACAAACACCACAACCAAAACAAACACCACAACAACCACCACAACCATCACAACCAACACAAACACCACAACAACCACCACAACCAACACAAACACCACAACAACCACCACAACCAACACAACCACCACAACAACCACCACAACCAACACAAACACCACAACCAACACAAACACCACAACAATCACCACAACCAACACAAACACCACAACAACCACCACAACCAACACAAACACCACAACAACCACCACAACCAACACAACCACCACAACAACCACCACAATCAACACAACAACCACCACAACCACCACAACCAACACAAACACCACAACAACCACCACAACCAACACAAACACCGCAACCAACACAAACACCACAACAACCACCACAACCAACACAAACACCACAACAACAACCACCACAACCAACACAAACACCACAACAACCACCACAACCAACACAACCACCACAACAACCACCACAACCAACACAAACACCACAACCACCACAACAACACAAACACCACAACCAACACAAACACCACAACAACCACAACAACAACAACCAACACAAACACCACAACAACCAACACAAACACCACAACCAACACAAACACCACAACCAACACAAACACCACAACAACCACAACAACAACAACCAACACAAACACCACAACAACCAACACAAACACCACAACCAACACAAACACCACAACAACAACAACCACCACAACCAACACAAACACCACAACAACCACCACAACCAAAACAACCAACACAAACACCACAACCAACACAAACACCACAACAACCACCACAACCAACACCAACACCACAACAACCACCACAACCAACACAAACACCACAACCAACACAAACACCACAACAACCACCACAACCAACACAAACACCACAACCAACACAAACACCACAACCAACACAAACACCACAACAACCACAACAACCACCACAACCAACACAAACACCACAACCAACACAACCACCACAACAACCACAACAACAACAACCACCATAAACACCACAACAACAACAACCACCACAACCAACACAAACACCACAACCAACACAAACACCACAACCACCACAACCAACACAAACACCACAACCAACACAAACACCACAACAACCACCACAACCAACACAACAACAACAACCAACACAAACACCACAACAACCACCACAACCAACACAACCACCACAACCAACACTAACACCACAACAACCACCACAACCAACACAACCACCACAACCAACACAAACACCACAACAACCAACACAACAACAACAACCACCACAATAACAACAACCACCACAACAACACAGCAAACACACAACAACCACCACAACAACAACAACAACCACCACAACCAACACAAACACCACAACAACAGCAACCACCACAACCAACACAAACACCACAACAACCAACACAAACACCACAACAACACAGCAAACACACAACAACCACCACAACAACAACAACCACCACAAACACCACAACAACCAACACAAACACCACAACAACCACCACAACACAGCAAACACACAACAACCACCACAACAACAACAACAACCACCGCAACCAACACAAACACCACAACAACAACCACCACAACCACACAGCAAACACACGACAACGCAATTCCTGCGACGTTAGATAGAACATCTGCTGATGTCGTCACATTGGCAATGATGCACAAGAACCTCTGCACGCGCGGTGACGGTAATGGCCCTTCTTCTTCTTCATGGCGCTCGAACAAAGCTGGCTAAGTCTGTAGATCTCTGTCTCTCTCTAGGCCAGCTTAAGCCTCCCGTACATCACGTGACTCATGTGCGTGACCACCGCGTTTCTGTGTGTGACAACAGTTACTGGTCAACACTAACAACAACAACATCACCACCACCGACTTATTGAATGATGTTGCTGATGATGATGCTGCTGCTACTGCTGGTGCTGCTACTCACTGCTCTTCTGCCATTGATGACGATGCTCGTGATGATACGACTGCTGCTGGTGATGCTCCCGATGTTCATGACGACAACGATAATGCGATTGATACCGCCCCTGGTACTTCTCCTGCCCCTTGTGATGCTTCTAAATCTACTGCTGATGCGTGTGCTGATATGGCTGCTACTGCTGCTGCCGAGTAGGCTGCAGGCGTGGTGGAGGGGCGTCTCTGTCCGTGCGCGGTTCCGCCACCTCCGTGAGTCCGTGCCGCCCCGCGACCCCTCGCTGCGCCGCCGCTTCTACGAGAACAAGGTGCCCTGCTGATGATGATGATGATGATTACGCTGATGATGATGATTATGCTGATGATGATGATGATGGACACGCTGCTGATGATAATGGTTACGCTGCTCCTGATGATGGTTTTGCTCATGATGATGGTTACACTGCTGCTGATGATGATGATTATGCTGATGATGATGACGGTGATGATGATGATGTTGATAATAACAATTTATTTTTATATGGCGACTGTGTGACCCCACGACTGCGTGACTCCACGACCGTGTGACCACACGACCTCACGACCACGTGACCTCACGACCACGTGACCTCACGACCATGTGACCTCACGACCATGTGATCCTGTGACCCCACGACCGTGTGACCTCGCGACTGTGTGACCTCATGACCATGTGACCCCACGACCGTGTACCCCGTGACCGTGTGACTCCACCACCATTTGACCCCGCGACCACGTGACCCCGTGACCATGTGACCCCACGACTGCGTGACCCCACGACCGTGTGACCCTGCGACCCTGTGACCCCACGACCATGTGACCCTGCGACCCTGTGACCCTGTGACCCCGCAAGCTGCTGGTGCTGGGCGAGCGTCTGGTCCGTGCATGCGACTCCGGCGTGGACGCCTTTCTGCGTGAGATGGAGGTAGAGCGCGAGCGGCGAGCACAGCAGAGCGAGGAGGCGAGCGCCAGCTGGGACTGGGAGCGCATCGAGGCCACGGTGCTCACACAGTCACATACCCCGTCACACACACCCTCACACACCGCGTCACACATTCACACAGTCACACTGTCACACACCCCGTCACACAGTCACACAGGCACACTGTCACACACCCCGTCACACAGTCACACAGGCACACTGTCACACAGTCACACCGTCACACCATCACACATTCACACCGTCACACATTCACACAGTCACACAGTCACACTGTCACATATTCACACAGTCACACACCCCGTCACACAGTCACACACCCTGTCACACAATCACACAATCACACTGTCACACAGTCACACCGTCACACATTCACACCGTCACACCGTCACACAGTCACACACCCCGTCACACACCGCGTCACACACCCCGTCACACATTCACACATTCACACAGTCACACGGTCACACATTCACACAGTCACACATTCACACAGTCACACCGTCATACATTCACACAGTACATCCCCGTCACACACCGCGTCACACAGTCACACCGTCACACATTCACACAGTCACACCGTCATACCGTCACACAGTCACACCGTCATACTGTCACACAGTCACACCATCACACATTCACACAGTCACACACACCGTCACACAGTCACACACACCGTCACACAGTCACACCGTCATACTGTTACACCGTCACACCATCACACATTCACACAGTCACACTGTCACACTGTCACACATTCACACAGTCACACACCCCGTCACACACCGCGTCACACAGTCACACCGTCACACCATCACACAGTCACACCGTCACACATTCACACAGTCACACTGTCACACATTCACACAGTCACACTGTCACACATTCACACAGTCACACCATCACACATTCGCACAGTCACACTGTCACACCGTCACACAGTCACACCGTCACACATTCACACAGTCACACTGTCACACCGTCACACAGTCACACCGTCACACCGTCACACATTCACACAGTCACACTGTCACACATTCACACAGTCACACCATCACACATTCACACCGTCACACCGTCACACCGTCACACAGTCACACTGTCACACAGTCACACCGTCACACATTCACACTGTCACACCGTCACACCGTCACACATTCACACAGTCACACCGTCACACTGTCACACAGTCACACCGTCACACATTCACACAGTCACACCGTCACACATTCACACAGTCACACCCACAGCATACCATACTGTCACACCGTCACACCGTCACACATTCACACAGTCACACCGTCACACTGTCACACAGTCACACCGTCACACATTCACACAGTCACACCCACAGCATACCATACTGTCACACTGTCACACACCCTGTCACACACCCCGTCACACATTCACACAGTCACACCGTCATACTGTTACACAGTCACACCCACAGCACACCATACTGTCACGCTGTCACACACCCCATCACACACCCCGTCACACATTCACACAGTCACACCGTCATACTGTTACACAGTCACACCCACAGCACACCATACTGTCACGCTGTCACACACCCTGTCACACATCCTGTCACACCGTTACACAACAACAACCGCAATATGCCACTAAGTGACGGTGATGTCACCACAGCGCTTGTGCCAGGCTATGTGCACATTAGAGCCATGTACAGTATCGAACGCCCGCTGGCAGTAGGTCACGGGACCGACCCAGGTGCCATGGGTTGGCTGACTGAGATGACTGGCTGATGCACCACCTGTGCCCCCTACTGTGCCAGCTTGTTGTGCTTTAGCCAGGCGCTCCGCTCGTTGTTGTGAGCGTCGCTCCTCTGCCCTCCGTTGTTGTTGGAGGGCAGCCTCCAACTGCCCAGTAGCATCCTTCACCAGCCTCCTCCACAGAGGCCGATCTCGACACTGCTGGTACCAGTCATCAGTTCATGTTTCTCCAGCCCGATGCTGTACCCATTTCGCCCCCTCTCTCCAGCCAAACAGAAGCTGCTTGGGCATGTGGTGGGCTACATGGCCCAGCCAATGCAACCTTGCCTGCTGGAGGGCTCATCAATGGGACTGTGTCCAGATCTTTCAAAGATCTGTGAGTTCCTCACACAACCCAGTGTGGTTGAACCCAGGATAGATCACAGGCAGGTCAACCTGCATCTTTTAAACCGGTGCAGATGCTTATTTAAAGGGTTCCACATTATTATAGGAGGGAATAACTGTGGCCAGGTAGCTTTCACACAGCGTTACGCAGCTGATAAAAAGTTAATGCTGCTTGAATTTATTTGGATTGAGACTTCCGCTATAAAACTGGAGCTCATTAAGTATGTAAATGTATGTATGGTGAACTTGTTTCGCACTGTACGTAGCTAGCTGTGTTAATCGGAGGTGCGGAAATCACACTGCCCAGATAGGGAAACTTCTCCACTCTGTCCCCAACCGCTCCATCACTCGTGGAGAGTGGAGGGGGTGGAGTGTTTGATGACACAATATACTCAGACACGTGCTTTGATTTCTGTTTTGATAGTAATGCCCCATCTCTTAGTGGCATGCTCCAGGTTCGACATTTGCATCTCCAACTCCTCAGCGTAAGCAGCAATTACCAGATCATCCGCATACATAACAAATTTGACCAATATGGAGCCATCCCTCGACTGCACTTGGCCATCGATCAGCCTGCCATTGTATCTGTACTGGATAGAAATTCCACTGGTACAGCCAGGAAAAGCTTCTAGAAATAAGTGGTTAAAGAAGATGTTAAATAGTGTTTGGGCCAGAGGACATCCCTGTCACACCCACATGAGAACAAAAAATGCTCCGACTCCTTGCCACACAGCTTTACCCGGGCCTGCTTACCATGATGAAGGTCCTTAATGATTGTTAGCAGACGGTCAGGGACTCTCAAAGCACGAATAACAGCCCAGAACCCTGGCCTATTGATTGGAATCATAGGCCTTTGACCAAGTCAATAATACAAAGGTGTTACTTCCTGTTATATCCCCTACACCTCTGCTGTAACAGACGGACAGAGAAAATGGGTGTCCGAGCAGAACCGCCCCGGTCTGAAACCACAAATGTCTCCTCAGTGTGCCTGGCAATGCGACGTTGAATAACCATTGTCAGGACCTTTTGCTGCCTCACAGAGGAAGAAGATACCCCGGTAGTCTCTGGATCTTGATCACTCTTTGTATCTCCTCTAGAGATGGCACATTAGTCCACCACGCATATGGACTGTATCCCCAGCAGGTTCACATCCCCACCTTGCCCCATGATGTTGTTTGATCTGAGCGGTTTCCCCTCTCCCAAAACCTCAATACAAACGCTCAGCAAACCTACAAACTTGTTCCTGGGGTCAGAGGTCAGGTAATTGTTCTTTCCCTTAAGGATGGTTATATATTTGGTGCTGAGAGATACTTTTTTTTTATTGAATCAAAGAGTGATTTGTGATCGCGTGCTACATGCATACACAACTAGAACAACTGTCGTTCACCACTAAGTGGCGGTGACTTCACCATGGAGCTTGTGCCATACTCTGTGCATGTTGAGGCCACGTGAAATGTCGAAGGCCCGCTGGAAGGAGGTCATGTAACAGACCCAGGTACCATGAGTTGATTGACTGAGATGCCTGGCAGGTGCATCACCTGTGCTCCTCCCTGTGCTAACTCTCAGCGTTTTAGCTCTGCTCATTGTTGTGAGCGTCGCTCATCTGCCCTCCGTTGTTGGTGGAGGGCCGCTGCCTCAAACTGCCCAGCAGCATCCTTCATGAAGACAAAGACCCCCCGTATAGCCTTTAACAGACTTTTGGGGCAAGTGCTGCTAGCGAGTAGCACCTATGAAGGCCAGCACAGCACATGAGGGGGTGGGTGGCCAGTACCAGGCCTCACCGCCTTTGTCTCCCTAGTGGCGAAATTTACATACCACACTAGGTACTAATTTGAGGCTGAGTCGACCTAGGGGAGGCCCAGGACCGGCTCAGCTAATCGCCACTGGTGTTGGCCGTGAGCAGGAATCGAACTCGTTTCGTCGGGTTTGGAGCACAGTAACACACACGAAGACAATGTAAGTACTTTTGGTTTAACATTTCAGCAGCATTAGTTCAACACAAAACTCACGTGGCTTCATCAGACGAGTCGGGCTGTGTGCTCGAACCAATGAAGACTTCAATCAATGTGCAACAACAAAAAAAACTCCTCACCTATGTGTGGAGTTGAGACGTGAAGGAGGCGAATTGTACCTGCTTAGCTATCTCGTTACTTTATTCTCCACAGCGATGCTGCTGATTGTTGAATATTTCGCATAACACCGTCCACCACCCGCAGCACGCGGCACGGGAAGGTGGGTAGAGTGGACGGTGGGGGGATGAGGGAAGGGGGGGCAGATAAAGAATGCGTGGGGAGTGAGAGGGAAGCATACTCTTCAACCCATACTGTTTTTACCCGTATTCTTGTACAGGAAAATTGAGTTTTCCGGTCCATACGGCTTACAGCCGTTTCAATATGGGCAAATATATATGCCTATTTGTTTGTGTTTCTCCCTTGTAATGGGACTTTGTAGGTTGAACGTGGAGATTTATGAGGACACGAGGTGATCAATAAGGTCTGAATTCATCTGTAATAAGGTAGGCACTGATAAGGGATTAGCAGATATGGGGAATGGATGGGAAAAGAGCGGAGGAACAGGAGCACAGAGTGCCGGAGAGATGGGGAGACCATACGGGAGTCGCGTGATGCACGGGAGGCTTGAGCTGATTCACACAGAGAGATGAAGATGCGGGCATAGCTCGGTTTACGCCCAGGATGCCTTCCTGAAAACCAGAACGTAAAGAGAAGTACTTGAATTGAAGCAAAGACGTGGGATGGTGGATCGTAGTTGTGGTACGGTGCCTAAACAGAGGATGCTCAGTAACCCATTGCGCATTTGTACCGTACGACCATCGCTGTGAAAAGTAAGTGTACGTTATTGATATATTAAAATGTTTATACTATATGTATTATCATTTAAAAAAAATGACACTTGTATAAACATAGTCGCCAGAATACGGTACGTGGGAAAACATGTGTTGATGGAGTTCCCATGACAAGAGAATAGCCAGGCTGGGCCGTTGACGCGTGAGCGCCACCTGGCGTGTGGACATCGCCGTGCAGCGTACTAAAACTGCACACTGGTGTGATAGAGAGCAAAGGCACAACATCTACAATCTGACTACAATGTTTCGCAAGTAATTACGTCTGGCTTCATCAGGCTACAGCCAGATCTGTGGCCCTCGCCTGACAACCACAAGATGAATGGATATTCAGGCTACACAATCCATAAAGCTATCACCCCAACCGTTGGGAAAGAACCATCTGAGGACCCAATTAAAACCATCACCTTGCCATAGATAGCAGGGGTCACCAAAATCATGAGCAAATACAAGATCCAGGTTCGATTTAACACAGTACATAAAATTCGTGATCTGATTCCATCTGTGAAGGAAGTGATCCCTGACATGCAATACCCCGGCGTCTACAAACTAAGCTGTGTCTGCAGCACATTGTGGAAACTAAGCGACATGTCTTGGACCGTGTTCGTGAACATAAAGCAGATCTGAAACACGGTAGGACCAATACCTCGGCCGTGGCTGATCATTGTTTTAATGCGGTGGGCTTACGAAATTGATGTATCCAATACGAAGGTACTTTGCAAACCCACTGGCTATCAACAAGATTCGTTCATGAAGCCATCAATATTTATAGACATAGACAATTTCAACCGAGAAGATGGGTACAAACTGAGCAATCATTGGAAGGAAGTTATTAACCAGTTTAAATCGTAACTGGCTGTGATGTTTCCATCCTACCTGCCTATGTCAGCTGTTATTTCCGACTCTCTGTCTCTCTCTATAACTCTCTCATAGATATCTCACATGTCCTTTGGATTGCACTCTCATGCTCACATGCATGAGAGTGCCGCTCTCCGATCTTACATTAACATAGCCACTTCCGTGCCCTCGTCGTGGAGGTCCCTCTCTGATCTTACATTAACATAGCCACTTCCGCGCCATCATCATGGAGGTCCCTCTCTCATCTTACATTAACATAGCCACTTCCGTGCCCTCGTCGTAGAGGTCCCTCTCCGATCTTACATTAACATAGCCACTTCCGCGCCCTCGTTATGGAGGTCCCTCTCTCATCTTACATTAACATAGCCACTTCCGTGACCTCGTCATGGAGGTCCCTCTCTCATCTTACATTAACATAGCCACTTCTGCGCCCTCGTCGTGGAGGTCCTTCTCTGATCTTACATTAACATAGCCACTTCCGCACCCTCGTCGTGGAGGTCCCTCTCTCATCTTACATTAACATAGCCACTTCCGTGCCCTCGTCGTAGAGGTCCCTCTCCGATCTTACATTAACATAGCCACTTCCGCTCCATCGTCATGGAGGTCCCTCTCTCATATTACATTAACATAGCCACTTCCGCGCCCTCGTCGTGGAGGTCTCTCTCTCATCTTACATTAACATAGCCACTTCCGCGCCCTCGTCGTGGAGGTCCCTCTCCGATCTTACATTAACATAGCCACTTCCGTGCCCTCGTCGTGGAGGTCCCTCTCTCATCTTACATTAACATAGCCACTTCCGCTCCATCGTCGTGGAGGTCCCTCTCTCATCTTACATTAACATAGCCACTTCTGTGCCCTCGTCGTGGAGGTCCCTCTCTGATCTTACATTAACATAGCCACTTCCGCGCCCTCGTCGTGGAGGTCCCTCTCTCATCTTACATTAACATAGCCACTTCCATGCCCTCGTCGTGGAGGTCCCTCTCTGATCTTACATTAACATAGCCACTTCCGCGCCCTTGTCGTGGAGGTCCCTCTCTGATCTTACATTAACATAGCCACTTCCGCGCCCTTGTCGTGGAGGTCCCTCTCTCATCTTACATTAACATAGCCACTTCCGCTCCCTCATCGTGGAGGTCCCTCTCTCATCTTACATTAACATAGCCACTTCGTGCCCTCGTCATGGAGGTCCCTCTCTCATCTTACATTAACATAGCCACTTCTGCGCCCTCATCGTGGAGGTCCCTCTCTGATCTTACATTAACATAGCCACTTCGTGCCCTCGTCATGGAGGTCCCTCTCTCATCTTACATTAACATAGCCACTTCCGCGCCCTCATCGTGGAGGTCCCTCTCTGATCTTACATTAACATAGCCACTTCCGTGCCCTCGTCGTGGAGGTCCCTCTCTGATCTTACATTAACATAGCCACTTCGTGCCCTCGTCGTGGAGGTCCCTCTCTGATCTTACATTAACATAGCCACTTCGTGCCCTCGTCGTGGAGGTCCCTCTCTCATCTTACATTAACATGATAATTTATCACATCAATAGCCCCGCCCACTTCGATTATGACCCTTGGTCTACACCCATTTCAAACCTTTAAAGCAGTCTGCCTCAGCAGCTTTCCTCACATTTTTTTTCCATCTGATCGAAAGGTCGTAGTTTTTTGTTATTTTCTTTCAACCTGTCTACATGACTTTACCGAAAGACCTACAGAATATGAATTCCTGCAGTCACGAAAGCTTTAAGTCAAGATTTAAGAGAGAAACACAAACAAATATACACATTTTTAGTTTTTTGCCCGTATTAAAACGGCTGTACGCTGTATGGCCCTGAAAACTCAATTTCCCTGTACAAGAATATGGGATAAACCGAATGGGTTGACAGGTATGTAACTGCATACAGATGAGAGGGGAGGGATTCAGAGTGGGGGTTGCCACACAGAGGTCACGTGGTTCACGGGAGGCTTGAGCTGTTTGAGGGAGAGAGAGAGATGTGCACACGCCAGCTAGCGAGCACGTGGCACTCACTGTTTCATTCCTCGTCTCTCTCAGGCACTGGCCCGGGACCCACGCCTCTGTCCCATCTGCCTCACTCCGCTGTGGCTCCTGGCGCAGGAGGCTTCAGGTGGTGCCCGGCCCCTCCAGCAGCATGGCGCTGTCGGGGCAACCAAGGGGAGGGGCCGCGGGAGCGCAGCCCCCCAAAGAGGGGGGGCAGCGGTCACGGAGAGACGGAAACAGAAGCCGGGGACACGGAGAGGGGCGGCGAGGACCCCTGCAGCCTTGATCCCGGCGGGTCCCCCGGCTTGCCCCCAGGCGCGCCCCTCAGCGCTGACCCCAGCGGGAGCCCCCCCGGTTCTCCTGTCGTGTGCCCACGTGTACCACGACGCGTGCCTCGAGGCGCTGGAGGGGTTCTCTGTGGGAGTCCTGCGCCTCTGCCCTTTGTGCAGGGCTCCCTACAGCAAGAGGGTCCTGCGGGACCCCCGGGAAGGGAGGCAGGGGGGGTTGCTACCACGTGACCCCCGTGAGTCAGTGACCACCCCCCCCCCCCTCGATGATGCAGTGACCACACTCATCCCGCATCAAGTCGTGCAATCAGTGGCAGAGTGAGCAGCCACTCAGGCTGCGAGTTGGAATCTGTTCGGTGGCATAGGGGTTGCAATTGACTCGGTCCAACTGCACCCAGGGGGTCACGCTCGTCCATGCAGGGGTCACGCTCGTCCACCCAAGGGTCACGCGCATCCACCCAGGGGGTCACGGTCGTCCACCCAGGGGTCACACTCGTCCACCCAGGGGGTCACGGTCGTCCACCCAGGGGTCACGCACGTCCACCCAGGGGGTCACGCTCGTCCACCCAGGGGTCACGTTCGTCCACCCAGGGGGTCATGCGCGTCTACCCAGGGGTCACGCTCGTCCACCCAGGGGGTCACGCTCGTCCACCCAGGGGTCACGCTCGTCCACCTAGGGGGTCACGGTCGTCCACCCAGGGGTCACACTCGTCCACCCAGGGGGTCACGCTCGTCCACCCAGGGGTCACGCACGTCCACCCAGGGGGTCACGCTCGTCCACGCAGGGGGTCACGCTCGTCCACGCAGGGGGTCACGCTCGTCCACCCAGGGGTCACGCTCGTCCACCCAGGGGTCACGCTCGTCCACGCAGGGGTCACGCACGTCCACCCAGGGGGAGAGAGCCTCAAGTCGCCCCGCCTGGCGATCCACATCCACCCACGCTCATCTTCCAGATAATCATCATCTCCATCATCAGCATCACAATCTTTATTTATCCTGGAAGATTTCCGATGCGCTTTGAAGATCTTTTTTTCACCGATGTCCAGTAGGGGTTCGCGGGTCAGCGAGAAAAGGTAATTAAGTTGCTAAAAACAAATGCACATGTTCGTTCGTTTCTCAATCCGCTTGTCCTGGTGAGGGTCTCGGCGGCAGCAGCGTGTTGAATAGTGGCGGTCCACACCTCCCTGGCGACAGACTCCAGCACTACTACACTATACACTACACTATACACTACACTATACACTACACTTTACACTACAGCAGCGTGTTGAGTAGTGGCGGTCCACACCTCCCTGGCGACAGACTCCAGCACTACTACACTACACACTACACTATACACTACACTATACACTACACTATACACTACACTAGACTATACACTACACTTTACACTACACTATATACTACACTATACACACTACACTTTACACTACACTATACACTACTTTACACTACAGCAGCGTGTTGAGTAGTGGCGGTCCACACCTCCCTGGCGACAGACTCCAGCACTACTACACTATACACTACACTATACACTACTACACTATACACACTACACTATACACTCCAGCAGCGTGTTGAGTAGTGGCGGTCCACACCTCCCTGGCGACAGACTCCAGCTGTTCCATGGGAATTCCAAGGCCAGCAGAGCGACATCGTCCCGCCAGCGTGTCCTGGGCTCATTTTCAACACCAAATGCAAGCTTGGGACAAGGAAGCAAAACAACAACAGTCCCTCAATTGCATTGCCCATTGAACTTGAACGAACGGGCGAGGTTCAACGTTACAAATAACATTTGCAAGCGCGGTTGTATCGATATCGTCAATCCGCCACCGTAAAGTTGACATCATCCGTCTCAATCCAACAAGATCGGCATCGCTGTAGCGTCATCATCATCTCAACCGGATCATAATTATAATCAGGAACAAGTCATCGGGGTATGGCGGCAGCACAGCAATTGGGTACATTCCCACCTACACAGGGATCACCCCCCCCACTTCACACGTGGAGGTTTTCTCTGGGCGCTCCGGTTTCCTCCCAGCTGCATAAACCCTCGTCCATGGAGTTGGCCAAACATTCGAGCACAGGGCCCCAGAGCTTGGGCAATTGTTGGCAGCGTCAGTCCGGGTCCGCCTTCCTCCTCACCTTTTTGCGTCCCAAGTCTCCGAACCATTCTCTCTGTCTCAAAGCGAACCAATACTGTGCACGCTAGTTTCTAAATTATTACCAAGATCGACTCAGCCTCATCATCGTCGTCGTCGTCATCACCGTCTCTCCAGGGTGGGTAAAGTGAGCACCACCACGAAAGGCTGAATCGCTCGGTGAAGAGAAGTCAACGTTGGCTGGTGTCGCGTTCATTAAACCTTCACTTGGCCTCGCCAAAAAGTAATGTGGATCTTGTTCCACTGGCTCAGGCCCGCTCTATGTGTCTTGATGTAAGTTTATGAGTGTTTTGATGTAAGTCTATGGGTCTCGATGTGAGTCTATGTCTCTATGTAAGCCTACAGGTACAATATATATTACAAGTCCCTGTGTCTCTGCAAGCGTTTGTGTATGTGGGGAGCGGTAGTGTAGCGGTGAGCGCGCTGCACTACGAACCCGGGAACTCTGCTTCGAATCCCGCTCACGGCCAACATCAGTGACAATTATTTGAATCTGTCCTGGGCCTCCCCTAGGTCGACTCAGCCTAAAATGAGTACCTGGTGCGGTGTGTAAACATCGCCACTGGGGAGACAAAGGCGGTCGGGCGTGGTGCTGGCCACCCAAGCCCTCGTGTACCGTACCGGCCTTCACAGGTGCTGCTCGCTAACAGCACTTGCCCCTACAGTCTATTAAGGCTATACAGGGATCTTTGTATTTTGTGTCTATGCAAGGCTATGGGTGTTTGTTAATTAACTATTTCCAGGTGAAATGCGGCCTCGACATTCGCGAGGGTGCAATTCCTGAAAATCTGCGCGAAAGTAGAATTCGCGAACGTAGAATCGCGAACGTAGAATTCGCGAACGTAGAATTCGCGAACGTAGAATTCGCGAACGTAGGTGCGATGTTTATGTCCCCGCCTCCGACTGAACATACGGGAGAAAAATGAATCCTGCCTTGTACACATATACTTATTTAAATTGTGCATAATACTAATTAGTGATATGACAAAACACATCAATAAATCACGGTGTGAATCTAGAAATAGTTTTTTTTTTACCCTGGTTGATTATGGGGGCGTGATGATGATTCTACTTTGGCGGTCATCGTTACCCTTTGCCCGCACACTTTCCCCCGATCGCCCACTCGTGTGCCTCTACAAATCTGATTGTTCACTCGTCTACCACGCAATGGCACCAACAGCAGACGACGCACCATCACCACCAGCAAGTCTAAACTAAAACTAAACTCCGTGTTTAGTTTATTTTACCAGGTGAGGCGCCACTGCGATATTGAATTGTAGCTCTTTTTCAGAAGCGATCTGGCCACAAATGATCCTTCAACGAGGCAGTGGCGTATGACGTGGACATTTATGGCAGGCAAATACTCTAAACGCGCGTTTTTTATTCTAAATGTGGAGGTGAAAAACCGTGGGACCCGGGGAAAAATCCACACGACCACGGGCAGAGAGACACGCAAACTCCAAATATACAGCAGCAGCAGCGGCAGGCATCGTCAGGGTCGTGATCGAACTCACGCCCTCCTGTACACCAGGCGAGGTAGTCAACATCTTCTAGCCACACAAATATACAGCAGCAGCAGGCATCGTCAGGGTCGTGATCGAACACACGACCTCCTGTACACCAGGCGAGGTATTTAACATCTCCTAGCCACCGCGGCGATCAAGTCTCTCCAACAACTCCACCTTTTTGAGCTAAACCCACCGCCTCTGTCCTGTTTTACCTCTCGCTCTCACCTCCTCCACTCACTTAGACTCCACGATCGACACACACAAAAAAAACACCACAAGGCAAATGGACGGATTGGCGGTACACTGGCGCAGCATAACACACCGGTCCTCGTTAAACGGTCTCAAGTCAAACTTTGAATCGCCAAATCTGTGTATCGGTCTTGACTTGAGTGAGCCGCAGACTCCACATCAGAAGTCGCCTCCGATAGAGCGGCTGCTGTCCCATTGGAATGTGCGGCGGTGACACCGCGAGCCGAAATATTTTGATGCCACCGTCCGCCAAAATAATTATTCCGGAAAAGAATGGAGGAACCGTCCGACCAAGTGCCGGGCAGGAGGAGTCAAATGTTGCCCCTGGAACACGGAGTCAGCCAGTGGTCATCAGGGCTGGCTGCTTGCTCCACAGCAACAGACTGTGAAACTTCTTCGGGTTCAGCCGCTCACACGGCCACTACCACACTCGGCCACTACAACGAGTTATGGTCAGTGCTAGTCTTAGAGTCAGTGGCACGGTTAGGGTCAGTGGTAGAGATGCGGTCAGTATTAAGTTCGGGTGAGTGGTAGGATGAGTGTAAGGGTGAGTGTCAGGGTGATTGTTGGGGTGAGTGTCAGGGTGATTGTTGGGGTGAGTGTCAGGGTGAGTGTCGTAGTCACGTGCCCCCCACCGCCCACCGCGGCCATCGCTGTCGCCCCCAACAGCAGCGCGCGGATTACGCGCCCTGAGTGATGACTCCCTGGGGGCCGGGGCGTGCAGGGTTGGGGGTAGACACAGACAGAGGCTCGTGTCACGCGGTGTTTAATATGGACACGGACATCAGAATACCGCGTCTCGTGTGGACTCACATCACAGTGACCCACGTGTCGTGTGACATCACCGTGACCCACGTCTTGTGTGGACTCACATCACAGTGACCCACGTGTCGTGTGGACTCACACCACTGTGACCCACGTGTCTTGTGGACTCACACCACTGTGACCCACGTGTCTTGTGGACTCACACCACTGTGACCCACGACTCGTGTGGACTCACATCACTGTGACCCACGTCTCGTGTGGACTCACACCACTGTGACCCACGTCTCGTGTGGACTCACATCACTGTGACCCACGACTCGTGTGGACTCACATCACTGTGACCCACGTGTCGTGTGGACTCACACCACTGTGACCCACGTGTCGTGTGGACTCACACCACTGTGACCCACGTCTCGTGTGGACTCACACCACTGTGACCCACGTGTCGTGTGGACTCACACCACTGTGACCCACGTGTCGTGTGGACTCACACCACTGTGACCCACGTGTCGTGTGGACTCACACCACTGTGACCCACGTGTCTTGTGGACTCACACCACTGTGACCCACGTGTCGTGTGGACTCACATCACCGTGACCCACGTGTCGTGTGGACTCACACCACTGTGACTCACGTGTCGTGTGGACTCACACCACTGTGACCCACGTCTCGTGTGGACTCACACCACTGTGACTCACGTCTCGTGTGGACTCACACCACTGTGACCCACGTGTCGTGTGGACTCACACCACTGTGACCCACGTGTCGTGTGGACTCACACCACTGTGACAGACTGTCGTGTGGACTCACACCACTGTGACTCACGTGTCTTGTGGACTCACACCACTGTGACAGACTGTCGTGTGGACTCACACCACTGTGACCCACGTGTCGTGTGGACTCACATCACTGTGACCCACGTGTCGTGTGGACTCACACCACTATGACCCAAGTCCTTGCCGATAGCGTCTGAAAGTTCACCACCAACATTGAATCGGGCGGGCCTGGCTCTGCTGATGAGACACTGAATGTCGAGTCCCGTTCAGAGCGTTGCTTGTGCTCAATCAATCTGAGAGTAATACGCTCCCAGTGTGTGTTGGTGTAGAAAATTCCTGTTTGCTGTTGTGTGGACTGATGGATATATCCTGAAGCCTTCAAATTGCGCTCACAACCATCAATCAAAGGCAAAAATAAAATAAAAACCGTATAGCCTGAACAGACTGTTGGGGCAAGTGCTGTTAGCGAGCACCTATTAAGGCCAGGACGATACACGATGGGGTGGGTGGCCAGCACCACACCCGACCGCCTTTGTATCCCCAGTGGCGATGTGTACACACCGCACCATTTGAAGCTGAGTCGACCTAGTGGAGGCCCAGGACCGGTTCAGATAATCGTCACCGGTGTTGGCCGTG